TTTAGATAATCTTGATTAAAAACTAAAAAACCTCAATCCATTTTTGTACAGATGTATGTATTTTAATACAGATTATTTCTAGCATAATAGATAATTTAGATAATTTATGTATTCTCAACGTTTCATCATAAAAGACAATAATAATGCAGTAATACAAAGCTAATAAAAATTAACAAGACACTTCATGATCTTACCTGGAATGAGTTTGTTGCTCATTAGCTGATGATGGTACTTATATGATGTTCATGGTTATCATATTTCATAAACACATCTAAATGAACAAAGAACCAGTGTTTTTAAATACACAGTAATTAGGCCAGATAATAACCAAAAGTCATAATTTCAAATGCAATGCATGCCAGAAAATACATAAGCATTTGCACTAATAACCACTAATAACCATAACCATTTGTACTGATATGCACTAATCAATGTAATTTCCTTTCTTTGGATAGTTGAAAATATAACAATATTCTTTACCAGATCAGAAAGAACGAAATGTATTGCATTAACTAAAGTGTCATGATGAGACTTAAAGAGAAAACACATTGGAAAGTTTTTTTCTTGTGTTTGTAGAAGTTGTAACATCAATATAGACACATAAGAAGACTTTCTCTTACCTACAATCCAACTGTAGATCCACACAGCAGAAGATGTTGCTCATCAGCTAATGAAGTACTGAAGAATTTGACATAGTAAGTTTAAATGACCTTCCGAGAAGCTCTTAATATTTTCCCTGGGGTGTTGAGCAAAAACCACATAGTGTTTTTGCTCAACTCCTCTGCAATTATAATCCATTTTCCCCATTAACAACCTAAAAACCTGTTAAAATGTCTTAAAAGCATGCAATGAATTGATTACATTGTGGTCCATGTTCATTAGACACATTATCAATAAATAATTAAAAAATATATTTTTATAAAGCATTTTTAATGTTGTTATTTTGTGTGTGGTTAACTTACAGTGGAAGGGAAGATTTTCATGGATTAATTGTTTAAATTGCAGTCTCGTTCTCACATTAAGTTTTTTAAAATGTATCCTTTTAAGTCATTGTGTGGCCTCCTTGGAAGTTAGTGGAGGTCTGCTTGTGGGCCCCAGCCCCATGGAAGAAGTTGAGAGTTTGAAGAGAACCCGTAATTGTGTTTCTTTTCAGATCCACCACAATCAGTGTGCCAATGTCTAAACCCCATTCAAGAAGCAATATCCAGGAAGATTTTTTCACAAGCGTGATCCACAGACATTAACAAACCTCCTACTCTGCGGCACTAGCTTGCAATTTCTAGGCATCTGATGTTTCAGTCTCCATAGAGCGAATAGTAACATTATTCCTCTGTGATTGCAGGAAAGCACAGGTGAATAAATATGAAGGGATGCTCAAAAAGATGAAGTCTATTCAGTTTCACAAGTTAATTAAATCAGTTCCACATATCATGTCTTTTGGCTTTGGAGTAATATTTCTGTTTTCCCATATTTTCAACATAAACCAGCACTTTTTATTTACTTTATTCATTGATTCAAATGTTCTTTATAATGCAACATAGAAACAATAGGTTGACTCATAACGTGTCCATGAACTTTGTTGTTTAATCAACATCTAGCTGTTACATATACAGTATAAGGGGGAATTCTATGGTGGACGAGAGACCTAAACACGCTGCACATGCAAATAGAAAAAACACCAACAAATGAAGAAAACATCTTCATCAGTTTGAGCACACGTGCTGCAAATACTCACAACACAACCAAATATAGAAACCTTTTGCAAATACTTGCAACACAACCAACTTCAGAAACACGCTGTAAATACGCACACAACGGAATGTTTAAGGGAACCAACAAGTGATGAACCTGGCTGGGACATGTTTATCAATGTCTGCTCTGAAAGGTCAGGTTTTTTATTTTTATTTCTATTTTAACATCCTGATCATATGATTTCTTAGCTTTTTTGATATTATTAGCCTAAATAAGATGAGAAAATATACAATTAGCCCACTGTAAATGTGAAACGTTTTGTAAGTTGGCAAGCTAATTTTCACAACTTTTTTTTGTATCTGGTCGCTTTGTGCGTATTTGCAGCACGTTTCTGTATTTGGTTGTGTTGTGAATATTTGCAGCACGTGTTGTCAAACTCATGAAGATATTCTCTTAATTTGCAGGTGCCTTTTTTATTTGCATATGTTTTCTTAAGTTGCAGCACGTTGAGCTCTCTCGGCCACCGTATAAAGTGCATTAAATAAAGAATGTCCCTTTAAGTCCATTGTTATGCTCTTCAAGTGTAAACCCACTGAGCACATTACAATCTTTACCTGAATTCACCTTATATACTGTACATATAAACTTAATGACCAAAATGCAGAAATATTACACTAAAACTGTAAATTTGTTTCTACAAAACATTCATTAGCTAATGAAGAGAACATGCAAAAATTGTGTTTATACTGTGTGGATTTCAGATATCCCACAAATTTATTCAGATTTGTGCATCATTTATACATCAGTATTTTCGCAGATTTTTACAAATCACATTAAATAAAGTGCTGACATTCATTGCACACCTGTTGGTCTGAGCATTAGTAGCCTACTGGCTGTGTGTTAAAAGTCTATATGTCAATATGGGTGCATATATTTTAACAGCACGTAATCAAGTTATGGTGGTAAAAAGGTAAAAATGTCACATACAGAGGTCTCTGAAAGTGTTTACCTCTTTATGTATGACTTTTTATTTCCGTCTGCTAAACCTTCATATTAGCACATGATTTGATCAATTACAATGGCCTTAAATTAAACTATTTCCCTTGATAACTGTGCAAAAGCTTAAATTAGCGATGTCAACATCTGTGGGCCATCAGCCACATTTAGATATGAAATTAGATGTGTAGATACCCTCTTTATTTGTCCGAGATAATGCTTGAGACAATGGCTCCTATTACATTTAATTTCATTCACTGAGCTCTTTAATAATGCAGGACATCCCTGAAAGCATACTTATCTGCTTTATCTCCACATTTTCATGCAATTTTTGATAAAGATTTGTTTTATTTAGAAGTCTTAAAGGAAACATTTTGATGCTGTAAGGTTATCAGAAAACACTTTGCACAGCTGTTTGTTTCATAACTGATGAACTTCACACTGCAACTGAACTGACATGACTTGAGCTGAGCTGAATAATGGCACTATTGTCTATTATAGAGATGCTTCAATATAGTTGATTGTAACATTGACACTGAACTAAAGTAAATTAACACTGAACTAAATTGAGCTGAATAATGACACTTTTGTCTTTTTAGGGCTGCTTTACAGGTGAAATTTAATTTATTTCATAATTGAAGGATTTTAATACAACATTAATACTGTTAGTACTGTATTAATGCTGAAGCTGCTAATATAGCACTAATAGACTTGACTTAGATACTGCACATTATGATGATGAGTGCTAGTGCTGTGTTCTGAGGACTATCGGAGCCACTACAGCGTATCATCAACATCACTCCTCATAAACAAGTACAATAAACAGTCAACAAATGGGTTTTGATACCAGAGACAGTAAAAAAAAGTTGGAAATTCTTTGGCTTAAAGAAAATCCAAAGAATTTAATAAAAACCTTAATTGCATTGGGGAGAATGAGAAATGTGTAATTCAGCAGCACAAGAGACAGGCTGCCCAAAATTAATTTGCGTTTATGAGAAGTGAGTGATATTGAGTGAGAGAGTCCCCTTCACCAACAAATCACAGGAAGATTATTGGATAGGGGATAAAATACGCTATATACTGTATATACAAGACTCTAAATAATTATATTGCAACTGCTTTTTGGTAAGCTCCATAAACTTGGTAAAAATATTTCAATAATATGCTTTGATAAGCTCTGTAAAAGGACCAAACAATGGCAGTAATTTCAGAGTGCAGCAATGTATTTATAAAATGACAATCTTACCAGGAATTAGACTCTGGATCTTCTTACAGGACTGATGATGTTACTGATCACTAGATGATGGTGTCTGTGAAATGTTCATGGTCATCATCCTTTTATAGCATGAATCACGTCACTTAAAAGGGAAAGTGGTTATTCAGTCAAGTAATGGAAAACTACACTACAAGCATGATGAGACTGATAAAACACTGGCATTACATTTAATGGCAAATGTTTCAGTTTCAAAGATAAATTATGCATTTGACCAGTTATTACTGCAGCAATGCTTGCCTCTTTGTATTTGATTTGTCTTGGAGAAAACACAAATTCTTTCTGATTTTCTTTTCTTTTTGATAATGTCTTCAAGTGTCTCATTATTTTGAGTCCAGACAAAATACATGTTTGCATGACATGTTCAGCACCACGTGTGAATATCTGAGTTGTAAAGTTCCTCAGGCTTGGAAGCACTGGTACAACTGGCTGAACAGTAGAACATATGTAGAACACATTAATTTAAATTTACATTTACATTTACATTTAGTCATTTAGCAGACGCTTTTATCCAAAGCGACTTACAATTGGGGGATACATAAAGCGATTCTTCTTAAAGAGGCAAACAGACACAAGAAGTGGTTGTAATACCAAGTTCTTAGACATTGTTCAAATAAGTACAAGCTAGAAAGAGAAGGAATAAATAAAGAGAGAGAATTTTTTTTTAATTAAAAATTTTTTTTTTTATGATGAAGTCAAGTAGCTTCGAAAGAGATGAGTTTTCAGCTGTCGCTTGAAAATTGTCAGGGATTCAGCATTCCGGATAGAAATTCACAAGCTTATATCACACTAGCCTATATACTTATTTATATATAGTCATATTTCTATAATTAAGAGTCATGCTGAGAATACGTGCCTAAATGAATCCAGTTACAGACGGCAAATAATATCCTCTGAAAATGTCGAAAAATACAGTTCTACATTATTATTAGTGGACTCCCTCCTCCGATGCCGTGGCTAGCCTCCGTTTAACAGGCCACGATGGGCGGGATTTGGTGAAATATCAGCCAATCAGAGGGACCCACGACCAGTGGGCATGATGTCCGATGGCCTGACAGCTATGCGAATGTCCAGCGTGTCTATTGGAACTTTACACATTAAATCAGTGATTTGACGGAGGAAAGAAGTAAACATGGTTGCCATAAGACCAGTGGCACACAAATTACCAAGCTACGTTCCTTTTTTACTAGTTTTGATCGATCTTCGATGCGAAGGTAAGTGGTCAGTGCTAGTGCTTAAGAAATGATGATTTTAACCAGGTTTGTAGTAAACTATATGTTCATCTTCATGACAGTTATTTAGAGAAAGTGATTTTGTTGTTTTTATAAATGAACTCAAAGCAAAGTCAGTGAGAGATGAAAAATCCCAGCTGTTTAGATGTCTACACGTCACTGTGAAGTACATACAGAGAACTGTAATATTAGTCCAGAAACACGTGACGCTGCTGAGGATCCAGTTATCTATCTGTCAAGCATTTAAACTTTAATGAAGATTTCTTTATTTAGTGTTTGTGATGTTATTTTGTCTATAGTATGTATTTAGTATACAGTATCTCACAGAAGTGAGTACACCCCTCACGTTTTTGTAAATATTTTATTATATCTTTTCATGTGACAACACTGAAGAAATGACACTTTGCTACAATGTAAAGTAGTGAGTGTACAGCTTGTATAACAGTGTAAATTTGCTGTCCCCTCAAAATAACTCAACACACAGCCAATAATGTCTAAACCGCTGGCCACAAAAGTGAGTACACCCCTAAGTGAAAATGTCCAAATTGGGCCCAAATTGTCAATATTTTGTGTGGCCACCATTATTTTTCAGCACTGCCTTAACCCTCTTGGGCATGGAGTTCACCAGAGCTTCACAGGTTGCCACTGGATTCCTCTTTCACTCCTCCATGACTACATCACGGAGCTGGTGGATGTTATAGACCTTGAGATGCTCAATAGGGTTTAGGTCTGGAGACATGGTTGGCCAATCCATCACCTTTACCCTCAGCTTCTTTAGCAAGGCAGTGGTCATCTTGTGGGGTCATTATCATGTTGGAATACTGCCCTGCGGCCCAGTCTCCGAAGGGAGGGGATCATGCTCTGCTTCAGTATGTCACAGTACATGTTGGCATTCATGGTTCCCTCAATGAACTGTAGCTCCCCAGTGCCGGCAGCACTCATGCAGCCCCAGACCATGACACTCCCACCACCATGCTTGACTGTAGGCAAGACACACTTGTCTTTGTACTCCTCACCTGGTTGCCGCCACACACCATCTGAACCAAATAAGTTTATCTTGGTCTCATCAGACCACAGGACATGGTTCCAGTAATCCATGTCCGTAGTCTGCTTGTCTTCAGCAAACTAGCAAACCGTTTGCGGGCTTTCTTGTGCATCATCTTTAGAAGAGGCTTCCTTCTGGGACGACAGCCATGCAGACCAATTTGATGCAGTGTGC